TTGAACTCTTCAGGCTCCAGTGGTGAGTTTTTGTTGGGTAAACGACCCCGGGCCAACGTGAGCGGGCGAACCTCTTGCAGGATATATTTCTCTTGGTCGATGACGACCTTCCCTGGAAGAAAAGACACTCGTCTTCCCGCAAAATCTACGGGGCTGGCCTGACAGTCTCGATACTTGTCGAAGCGGAACCGCTCTTCCAACACTCCTTGGACCCAGAACCTAGAGGAGGCACTGGCACTGCCGATGAAGAAATCATCGACCTCCAACAGCATCATGTTCTGGATGGCTCCGTCTCGGCCGTACTTGATCCACCAGCACGGCTCCAATAGGCTGCGCACGAACCCGTGATTCTCCAGATAACCTACTACCGTGCGACGCCAGGCCACAGGTGCATCGTCCAGTCCGTACACATTCCCCAGGAGGTGGATCAGGGAACCTGGCTCGACCTCGATCCCTTCGCACGGCTCCACATAGATCTGGCCCTGGGATCTGGTCATGGGGTCGGACTGGGTGAGGGCGTTCTTGACATCGGCGATACCACCTAGCATTCCAAAGTTAACCAGGACCTGGACAAACATCATGATGGACGAAGTCTGGGGGGTGGGGACATACACGGCGAGAGATCCTGAGTCCAGGTCCTTATGCCCGTGGGCGCACCATCGTGACTTTGCCTCGGGCTCCGCGAAGGTGCCTTCCACCGGCTTCCACCTCCGGACCATACGGCTCGAAATGATTTTGTCGGCGCTGTACTTTCGGATCGTCGCCGCTTGGTCCAGTGGGACGACTCGGACACCCCCAGACTGCAGCATCGCCTGCCACTCCTTCCTGTCAGAGGCCTGGAACTTTTGCCTCTCTTGAGGCGTGAGCTTCTTTCCCGTGATCTCCCCTTCCCCGCTGGCAGCAAAGGTGCCTCCGTCCTGACTGTCCTGGTTGGTGCTCCCGATCCAGGCACCGGATTGTCCAGCCCGGACGGTGAGACCTCCTTGTGGCCCTGGGACCACCCAGGAATCGTCCGTCTCCTCGACCTCGCCTCCCAGCCTTCCTCGTTGTCCTGGGGATCGAGACCTGGCCCTGGGCTCGAGAGCCTGGATCCGCTCCTGCACAGAGCGTCTTGGTTCGTGCCCATCCTCCATGGGTCTTCGGTCCGCTCCAGACGGTTCCTGGCCCGGAGGAGGAGACGATTGGGCACCATGGCCACCACCATCACCACTGAGGCCGGAGGAAGGAGGAAGGAGGAAGAGGAGGAGGAGGAGGGAGAGGGAGAGGACCGCGAGGGAGTCGGGAGCACCGGCCTCGAGGATCCTGGCCCTCTTGAGTTCGGGTGGGGCGCTCTCGGCACGCGTCGCCCGGATGCACGCCGGGACGTCGTCCGCCTGAGGCAGCCGACCCCGTGCCTTGGAGCCGGCGTCCCCTGGAGTAGAGGGGCGGACGGAGGAAACAGGGGTGAGAGCCGAACGGAGAGAGGAGCGATGAGCGGGTAAAGGAACCTGGCCAGCAGGCGAGGGCTCCGAGGTCCTCTCGACTCTGCCCGAGGACTCCTCCCGAGTCTCGTCTCGGGCTCCGCCTGGGGAGGGAGGAGGAGTTGAGGGCGAGATGGCTGACGGCTCTCCCTCAGAGGGAGACAGCTCGGAGATTGAGGGAAGCCTGGTTCTTTCAGACCCAGGGTGAGCATTGACCGATCCGGTTCGAGAGGCGCCGCTCCTCAGCGACCTCGGAGGGAAACCCAACGGCCCGGTAGCAGAAGGAAAAGGGGCCAGAGGCTTTGGTCCAGGGGCTGCCTCTGGTTCTGGTCCGGTCCCGGGGACCCTGGGCCCGGTGTCGAGGTCAGCCTGAGCTGCCTGGTCCCAGGCATCCTCGGGTGGGGGGGCCCTCTCGTTGGACGTCGACAGCCGTCACACGGCGAGCCTGGGCGGCCTGGAGGAGGTCCTGCCAGCGCGGGTCCTCGGCCAGCTGTAGTCCAAATTCCTCCTCGGGACTGGCCAGCCGGACCTGTTCGGAGGAACATTTCCACAAACGCAAACGGGCCCGGACCGCCACCCAAACAGTGCCGCCTTCGGCCAACACCACGACCCCGGGACCCGTCCATCCAGCTCGGCGTCTACCCAAGGAGTCGGCCCTGGAGGAAACCCTAGTGAATTGGCGCCACACAAACACCCACTGGCCTGGGGTAAACTTCCTGGACCCAGGAGTCCTGGCCCTGGCCGCCCGAGAGATTTTGTCCCGGGAGGTGGCCTCCATGGCCAATCTTCTGGCGGCCGCTCGGATGGCCTGGGCCCGGGCGAATTCGGCGCCAGCCTCATCTTGTTCTGATGCGGGGCTAGTAAGGTCTTGCCATCCCGGGATAGCTCTGTGGTCGTCGGACAGGAGATCGTGAGGAAGGCGGGGGTTTTCTCCAAACACGAGCTGGAGCGATGAGAAAGCCCTCTGTGCCAAAAACGATTATTGTGAGACGTGAGCTCGAAGATTAAATCATCGAGCTCCTGGAGATTGGCCAGCAGGGTCGATCTTGCCTCGAGTTCTATTCGCACTCGGTCCTTAATCCAGCCTCTGTGTCTCTCGACCCTCCCGTTCTGCCAGGGGGAGTCGGCGTCACACACGTGGTGAACAATTTTTCACTGCTCCAGACCTCGAGCAAAACGGGAACTCCGAACCACCGTCGGAGATGATCAGATGTGGCGCACCCAGCGGACGGATCCACGACTTCACAAACTCGGACTAAACCGCAACAGCCGTGGCGCTCTCGACTCTGGAAACCACCTGAAGATAGGATTCGTGGTCTACTACATTAAGGTATGGATACGTCACGCCCTGAAACTCTATACAGAACAGGTCCACCCTGACAATGTGGTTAAATCTGAAAGTCCTGGACAGAGCCACGCGGCGATGGGCTCCCGATTTCGACCGCTCAGCACAGTCTGAGCAGACGAAGTGTTTCTGGACCCACCAGATGAGTCGCTGCTTGGCGCCTCCCTCCAGCAGCACTCGGACAAACTTGCGATTGTCGGGATGGCCCATGTTAGAGTGAATCTTATAGACCAGTCGCTTCTCGTCTTCCGACGGCTCAGGCTCCGGTTCTTCGGTCCTGGGGACCTTGGCTCTGGACTGTTGGGATGGTCGGGTCTCCTGCTCGTCCTCGCTTTGATCGGAGCCGTGTGGCTCCTCCGGGTCCCCGTCACCAGCTTCCTCGGCTTCCGTAGGATAACTCTCCGCCAGCTCCGCCCACGGGGCCTGCCTGGCCCTCGAGGCTCCGGACCAGTGCTCGGACACAGCACGAGCCACGGCGTTGACAAATTGAGGGGGGTATCGTCCGGCCTTGGTGGTGACGGAGCCACCTTCCAGCACGGCATGGGTATGTCCGCCCGTGCACAGATGCCCGTCCAGGAGACGCAGCACTTGAGGGTGATTGCTGAGGATACCCGTGGGTTTCTTGTTGAGTCCTCGGCCGTCGACCTGGAGACCGAATCGACGCTTATCGACCCTGATCCGCAGGACCCTGGACATACCCCAGACCAGGCTAACGACACGCGTGTCCCAGGAGGAAGCGTACAGGGGATGCTCGAACACGAAGTGGCGCCCCTGCTTCACCTGATAGGCGGCGATCTCCATGCATAAGTCAAGTCCCTAAGACCCTCGGACACCAGACGATCCCATTCGATCCGGCCCATGCGATCGCGATTTAAACGATTGATCCCCGAGAACGCCCTGCATTCCGAACAGAGCCAGATCACCTCGGGACGTTCGATCTTGATCCTATGCCAAAGTCGTTCCACATCGGACTTCGAGACGAATCCCATCCGGTTTTGAGGTTCCAAGATGGCTCCCTTCCCAGAGGGGCTCCTCGCGGCGCCACAGCGGGGGAAATGCGAGGAGGAGAGAAGACCTCCATAAAGGCCACCTTAGACCTAGCCCTAGTTCCTTGAGCGCCCTGATTGAGCCACTCGAGGCCCTCAAGAGACCCCGTCGCAGCAGCTCCCGCCTTGCCGAGAGCTCTTTGCACTTGGGTGCCGCACGACACCCCGTGGTCGTCATTCATCAGGTCCCCGTCGAGCCATTCGAGTCCCCAGGAGGTTCCTTTTGAGGTGAGGGGAGAGGAGAGAAAAGAGGGGCCTCTTGGGCTCTCTCGGTCGCTCGTGCCAGAGGCGACGCAACTGCATGCCATAACAGTTGATGCGATGTGCGCGGGCCTCTCTGAGGTTCTGGGCTCTGGTGCTACAGGCTGCGGCACCTCCTGACTTGGCAAAAATTGTCTTACAACTGAACCTTGCCGTCCAGGTCTTGCAGCACTTCCCAGGGTGCCTCGTCCCGGACGGCTGTCGGTACCTCGGTTGAGATCGTCGTCATTGTTCCCGTGGGGTCCTCTTCCGTTGGGAACGATGCACCTCCCTGGGAGGTGGGAGGATCCTGCGTCGTGCCGCCGCCCTGGTTGGCCACGTGGACCAAGCCCATCACAGCCGTCCCGATCTGCACCACCATCTGTGTGAGCTGGCCCACTGACTGCTCAACATTCGTCATCGACGCTGTCAGGGCGGACATCTGCTCTGTGAGGTGATCGAGGACGTCGCCCATCGGCTCCAGGGTCTCCAGGATGCGTCGGATCCGCGTGATGCCCTGCTGTAGCAGCTGCAACCCCTCCTCCACCTGGCCGGGGTTCTGAAACTGCGCGCTGCTCACGTACTGCGCCATCTGCTCGATGACCTCCCGAACCTTGCCGAGCGCCTGCAGCCCCTCTGGCACCTGGTAGAGCTGCCACTGGAGCGACTGGAGGTAGGCGTTCAGGTCATTGACCGTCTGCAGCGCCTCCGAGCCTGCCTTGAAGCCCGGGTCCTCCTGGAGCACCTGAACTGTTCGCTCCGCTGAGGCTGCTGCTCTGCGCGCGGCCTCGGCTGCTGACTCCGGCTTCTCAGGGGGGGACCGTCTCGTTCTCGTCCCGCCTCGTGAACGACATCTTCAGTCCCCAGAACAGACACTTCTGGCCCGTGCTGTGCTGGTTGCCGTGCCCGATGAGCTGCGAGTGGTTGCAGTCTGGCCTCAGCTTTGGCGGAGGCGACTTCACAGGCTTCCCCCTCAGGGGAGTGGCACCAGGCGGCGCCCTCGCTGGCATTGGGGGCCTGGCCGCGCCTCCGGCTCCAGCGGCAGTCACACTTGGCGGGAGTTGGCCCGCTGCCATGGCCGTCGCTGTCCACGGTGTTGGTGGGAATGGCGGATGACCGCTGGAGGCAGCTGTAAGGTTCGGCCCCAGAGGTGGCTCCATCAGGAGTGGAGGCAGCCCGAGGAGCATCTGCTGGTACTCCAAGGTCATCAGAGGCGTGCCGTCCGATAGGTGTCTGAACACCGCCGTAGAGGGTAGTTACACCATCGGGTCCTGCGGCTGCCTGGGCCTGAGCCCACGTCATGAGCTGAGGAGGCACCTGGCTCTGTCATGCCGGGTTGAGGCTGCTGGGACGTGCTGGCTGTAGTCGCCCCCGTCGTCGAGCCTTGGTCGACTGTCATGGCTGCTCCGTCTGATGTCGTAGCTTCTCCGCCCTGCTGCTCCTGAGCCTGCCCGAGGAAGCTCGGGCTGGCCCTCGCCTGGTAGATCAGGACCATCGCCATCCAGAGGATCCCGCACATTGTGGCCGCACCACTGGACAATGCCGACAGGGGTTCTCAGTCGGCTGTCGGTACGAGAAGATTTCGAAGTCTGAAGACGAAGGCTCGAGCCAAAAGTGGCTACGGAGATCAGACCTGCCAGTATCTCGGGGCGTCGGATTGGCATGGATTCGATGGCTTCTCCTGGGTTGATGTTCCTGTCGCTGAGGACCTGAGCTTGACGGAACGATCCTGAGGCCGATTTTTTCTCTTGGCGGGCTCGCTGAGCCCCGGGCCCGAGGGAGAGGACGAGGAGGGCTATGATGAGGAGCGTAGCCAGGTATGCCGTAGAGAATCCTAACCGTCCAAGACTCCTCCCGATAGTAGTCCTACTCGTGCCCCTTCTTGACCTGGTCCCTGGACGGCTTGACCCAAGCCTCGGACTGCCTCTGGAGGCCTGGAGGAAGAGGAGAGACATGTACAGCGCCAGTGTGCCGTCGACCAGCATCCTCGGAGGCTTGTCATTCAATGACTTCTCCGTGAGAAAAGGGTAGCGTCTGAGCGCCGCTGCCGGCACCTTGACCGGCTGGTCCAAGGATCGAACCACCTCGACCATGCGGTGACTGGAGCCCAGAAGAGTCATGTCAATTGATGCTCGCAGGGTGCCTGACCTGAGTTTGTTGTGCGGCAGGTCTACCACACTCTCGAGAAAATCAAGAAGATTAACACTCATACTGTGAGGCACCGTCTCTCCCAAGACTGTCGTGTCTATGATGCCGAGCACTCCGCCCAAGCATAAAGGAAAAAGAACAGCACGGATCACCTTGGCGGGGCCGCCCACACCGTGGGTCCGCCGGGTGTGCACTCGGAGCTCGGGAGGAATCTCCACGTAGCGCAGCCCGTGCGTCGCCAGAACCTCCGACTCCCGATTGAGCGCCTCGAGGCCGATCAGGTCGGTGCCAGCGCCAGGGTCCACCAGCCCCTGGGTGGCGGAGGCCGCGAGGTAGACTGAGTTCGTGGTGATCTCCTCCTCCACCTCCTGCCAGGCTGCACCCGACCAGTGAGTGCCGCCTCCGCTGCCACCCGAGGCCAGACCGTCGAACATGTAGGCCGAGGCCCCTCGACGAGGTGGAGCCTTCTTGATGCCCGGCTTCTTCTTGATCGTCTCCTTCTTGGCACTGCCGACGTTGGGACACTCCCGCCCCCAGTGGCCCGTCTCGTGGCACAGCTTGCACTTGGTCGCCTTCATGAGCTGCTCCTGTGACAAGAATCGCCGTCTCCCTGGAGGTGCTCGCCGTCCTGCACCGCCTCCTCGTTCGTGTCGGTCTCGTTGCGGTCGTCCTCTTCCACGCCCATCCAGACGAGCTTCGGGAGGAGCATCGCTGCCTTGGCTCTTGGAGCCGAAGTACTCCCGGTCGCGCTGGGCAGCTCTCTTGAGGTCCTTGTTTTGCTTCCAGGAGCGATTGTTGGTGAGCTCCGCCATGGCCAGCTCGACCTCGTCCTCGTTCACGTCCATGTCGTCGAGCTCGGCCAGGATGGCCTCGACGTCCTGCTCGTCCAGCTCCTCACTGTCCTCGTCGCCCTCGTCGTAGTAGTCCTCTTCATCATAGTCGATCGTGTAGTTACCTTCTTCCGACCGACCGAGGTTAGGGGAGGAGGAGGAGAGCTGAACATCACAGCTGGCGTCAGAACGCTTGACTGGACCAGTGTCCTCAGAAGACGTCGATGTCGCCAAGAGTGCTCCGGGCCCTGCCTTGCCTGGCAAGAGCCGCTCGGTCCCGGTGGAGGAGTCTAGCTGACGTAGTGCCCACTTGACGCTATCGTAGGAGAGGTCACCCCGAGTCAACGTCCGTAGGTTCTGAGCGCCCTGAGCCCTCAGGTGGATGCCCTCCTCGAGAAACAAACCCTTCAGCTTGTCCGACATCCAGAGATCATGACCCTCGGCCTCGATGAACTCCGCCTCCCGCCGGCTCACCTACTGTGTCAGCGACTCCTTGGAGTCGCGGACAGTTTGATACAGTGCCTTGCATCTAGCTCGACGCAGCTCGTCACCCTCCCGTTCTCCGATCAGGTCCATCCTAGCGAGGAGGGTCTCGAGTTAGCCTGCTGACGTGAGCTGGCTGTCAGGGATGTCCTCGAACTTGGCCTGCTGCCACGTCGGTGTTGTCATTCCATCGTCGTATGGCGTGCCGCCACTGGCGGTAGTGAGCCCACCCGGGCCAGGCTGGAGGGTCGGAGAAATCTCCACGACCGCCTGACCACGAGCTCTGCCACCAGCCGCTCCAGATCTGGTCCCGCTTCGGGCCACTCTGGAGATCTCCGTCCTGTCTGTCGGCCGCCTGCCACCAGCGCTCGTCTCCTGCTGCATCCCTGCTCTGATGGTCGGCGGACGGTCCGTGTCCGCCACTCCACGGGTCGGCCCCCCGGCTCGCCCATGGATCTGCAGCCGCCGCTGGTGATGACTGTGGTGGCTGCTGCTGCTGCTGCTGCTGCTGCTCCTGCTGCTGCTGTGGCTGGCCAAGATGGCCGAGACTCCTCAGAGTCTCTTGGACGATGCTCTGCACCGTCCGAGTCAGCACTTCCGTGTCGATGCCCGCCGTAGGCCCTGGTACTCCTGTTGTTGCTGCTGCTGGAATGCCGCTGTTTGCTGAAGCGGCCTCGGGCGTCCTCGTCGCCATGCCGGCGAACTGCTCGTCTTGTAGCTGTCCTTCACCGTCTGCGGGCATCTGCCGTGGACCCCACGCCGCTCAGCGGTCTGAGCGGAGCCTGACCTCGAGGCACTCGAGCGTCGAGCCGCTCGGCCGTCACAGCCGCGTGCTCACGCCCATGGCCCTGGGCCCGACCCCGCTCCGCTACCAACTGTGGCAGCAGGAGAAGAGACATAATGTGTTCCCTTGAGCCACAGTGGAAACGGAACGCCCACAAGACGGATCTCTAACCATCTGTCCCTGGAGTGAAACGCAAAAGCTAAACCTACGGTACATCGACAAAATGTTGCACCACCTGGTGCTGACAATAAATCGCATCGCTGTTATATCAATCGTTTGTTTCCCCCCCCTCCCCCCCGATCTTAATATTGGGTTCGGACCCGGGCTGGTCGAAACAGCTCGGTGGTGCAACATTTTGTCGGGAGCCCCCGGGCGGAACAGGAGCTGTTCGCCATGCACCCAATATTAAGATCGGGGGGAAAGGGGGGGCAAGAGCAATGCAGTACAGGTGCCAATGCACAGCAAACGTGGTGCAACATGTTGTCGATGTACGGTATCAACGAAACATGGACCCCTGGAACACCCCGAAGGTTTCTACAACGGCTGGGGGAACACATGATTCGATAGCTTGGCAGAGCTCTTACCACATCGCTCGGCCACATGGGCGATTCCAAAAGGCAGGTGGCGGCGGTGATGTGCTGCAGGCGTCTTCTATCATGGTACGAATGATTTGTCCCTCTGGGGCCTTTCTGGGAGGGCGTCGTGGAGATTTCTTGGGACGTCTCCGAGGCCTGAAGGGCTGAGCCCTTACCACAACGCTCGACCACATGGGCGATTCCAAAAGGCGGGGGGCGGCGGTGATTCGCTGTAGGCGTCGCGCTGGCGGGACACGCCTCAGGCTCAAGCACGGCGCTGCTCCAGCAGGCTGGTAGCCCAGCCAGGCGGCTTCTCTGGACCACCCTCAGAACTCTCTCAAGGAGTTGTCAGGGTTGAATTCCAAACTCGAGTAAGCATTGTGAAAGTCAGAGTTTCGCTTCCAGTGTATTGTGGCGCTGCGCCTTCGCCAATTACTAGTTCGCGGCAAATGCTAACTTGACAGTAAGGAGGCATGGCGGTCAAGACGCAGTCGGTCCCACGCTCGGCCTCGGCGCGCGTGTGCGAGCGCAGGCTGCGGCCGTGTGGCAGCACGTGGTGGAGAACCTGAAGGCCGCGGGGTCGCGGGCGCCGGCAGAGGCGCGCCGCAGACGGGGGCGGGTGTTGTTGCAAGAAGAAGAAGAAACACTACAATACTCATACTCATACTAATCTTACGACTCATACGAATATTAATAACACTCATGCTATTAGTACTAATCATATCGATAACCATAATAATAAGAAGAAACATGCCCATCCTAATCAGAACAATTGCGTGCAATAATTGCTTCGAGCTCCGCGAGATTTCTTGGGTCCCCCTGGCGGCGCCAGCGCGCCCCGCGCGCCAGGGATTGAAGCCCAGCATCAATCCCAGAAGTCCGCGCAGAACTCCGAAAATTTATGCGCTTGCCGTTTTGTGTTGTTCTAGTTGCGTGCTCGCAATTGTCGTCGTGAAGAGCAGAGATGAGCAGCCCCTACCTCCTCCCAACGTCAGAAAATCACGACGGACGGATTCGGCAAATTCGTGGCGCCTCGCGTATCCCCAACCAGCCCATCCAGAAACGATGCTCGTGAGAGTTGGCGGGAGGAGGAACATCGGAGAGATCTCCCTAAGCGAGGGCGGGGTGAAGCCTGGAGAGCCTTTTGGGACCATCGCGTTGGCCTTCTAGGGGGGGCGAGGAGGAGAACAAAGGAGGGAGGAGGAAGAGGAGGCGAGAAAAGGAGGAGGAAGAGGATGATGAGGAGGAGGAGGAGGAGGAAAAAAAGGAAGAGAGCTGGCGGGCCCGAGTCCGAGGCAGTTCGGACCAGGCGCCAGTTCTGCAACTGCACAAGCGATGGGAACCACAGGTCATGCACATGCCGCCTTCTCTCACAGATAAGGGGGGTTCAGGCAGATAGGCTCCGAGCTGGTGGCCCGGCGGCTTCTCATCTTCGGTCCGATGTCCTTCGCGCAGCCGGTGCAGTAAAACCCGTGTTGGTGCAACACCGTGCAGGGGGGCATGGGCATATAGGAAAAATTGCGGAGGACAGATGCGATCGCATTCGTAGGCACGCAGCTCAGGAGCAAGAGTGGCCTTACTGAGGACACCCTCAGAGCCAACGGTTACCTGTGCATCCCGCTTGACTACAATATTGGCTGTAGCTGCGGAATTACCTGTATGTTGAGGGCACTGATATTCAGATCACACAATACCTGCCATGTGTTCGAGGTTCCGCGGCTGTTATGGGGGGCGATGTGCAGCCATGGGAGTGCACCAGGCACCACTTCAACCCGTTCATATTGGGATGTACTTCCCGCCGATGCACACCAGGAGAGACGAAAAGGAGAAGCAGGACCGCATTGCCACAAACATGGCGCAATGGTTGTGCGACCTTTTACACAAGACAAACTCGCACGACACGAGCATGATGGTACTCAACACGACCCAGATACAGCCAGCTGTGGAATATAGGACACACGAGCGGAGCACAGCACTACGTCGCAGTCAAAGCCGCATTGGGATGGAATGGGTACCACGTATTTTGGCACATGTTTTCAGATGGCGCCCAATTATATGTGCGAACGCAGTTCGAAGACATTCGCTCGCACTTTGGTATGGCACGCCGAGCTTGGAGCCGCAGAAAAAGGCGAGGGCACTTGCAGCAGCAGGACGGCGATTGCAGAGGCATCGCGCGAGCAGACAATTCGATCACCCGCCGATTCAGATGGCGGCGCTGGTGATGTGTAGTTCAATTGGCGCTGTGACAGAGCTGAGAGACCCAATCAGGAAACAATGCGCCACTCATTGCAGACTTGGGCATCTACCACAGCAGTTCTTCACACTAGCAAAGGAACAGTTGCTCGCTGAACAACCAACCTTGCATGTTTTTGCGCGCCAGGGCAAAGTGACAGGAGTGGCGCAGCAATTGCTCGCGCTTCTTAATCGAGCTGCTCTCCAGGCCAATCGAAGGCCAATGTGTTCTACTGAAAGCCATCGTGGACATGATGTCCAGCTAGTCCTAACATTTATTCGAGCGAGGTGGCAGGCGCGAGATCATCATGCCCGGGGGCGACTGCATGGCAGTGATTCTCTGGGGTCAGCATGGCGCGCGTTCGCATCAGTCAAACAGCACGCGCTGATTGGCGCTCTGTGACAGCAAGACGCGTCGAGGAATGAGGGCGCGCCATGAAACAAGGGGGCGCGCGCGCAGTGCGCAGGATCTCTCGCCTACTTGCTGGGCGGCGCCGCGGAGCTCGCCAGCGTCGGCATCGGCTACTTATTGCGGCATCTTCTGCGACGGCGAGGCGACGGCAAGCGCGCGTGGGACTTCATGGGCGGCAGGGCGGATGTGCTGCGGCCGACGCGAATCCAGAACAGCGGTTTGAACGCGCGCAGCAACGAGGCGCGCGTCGGCTCGCAGTTCAGGAGCCGTGCGAGTTGGCACGTGACTATTGGGAGCAGGTATTATATATAAAAAAACGAACAAGGCGAATAAAGCTGCGGCGATGGTGGTCAGAGTGGAGCGTACCAGTGTTTTTTTAACGCGTGGTTGATCCTCCCGAATGGGCAACGCCCGAGGTGCCCCGTTTTTCCGACGGGGCTTGGATGCCAGAGTTAGCTCACTGATTTGGGCCCGCTGCAGGCGGGGATGGGGCGCCCGCGCTGTGCCTGTCCGACGCGATGGCAGGCTGCCCGCGCAAATTCATTTGGCTGTGGCGCGCAGAGCACCCGGGAATCATTGCGCGGAAGGATGCGGCGGGGATCGGGTTGTCACGGTGGTGTGCGCGGCGGGAAGGCGCCGGCAAGTGGCGTTAGCTTTCCGTTGGGGCGCGCCCAGTCGCAGGCGCCCAGCGCTGCGCCGCGGGGGCCGAAGAGGAGGAGGAGGGAAAATGCAGTCATGGCGCATGCGCGCGCGTCGCGGAGGCTCCGCTCGCCGCGCGCAGGACATCTCGGCAGATTCCACTATGGAACACGCGCGCTTCATCGCGCCCCCTTCGGGTGCGCGGTCAGAGTTTGGCCGCTGCTGCGTCGCAATTGCGGCCCCGACATGGCGCGGGGTCGGGCGCTCGGCGCGTCGCGGAGGACGCGGGCGCGGAACGGCGCGGGCTCTTTCCTGGGGTCAACGCAGCCGCTGAAGTCTCCGCTGCAGCTTGCGCTACCGCCCTTGAAAATGAGCAGCATCGCGCGCGGCAGCATGACGCATAACGCGCGCGCGCTGCGCGGGCGCATGTCCCATCGCGGGGGGGGGGGCGCAGATGAGGTTCGCGACCTCGCCGACGACGGGGGAGGGGTGCATCTTCTCGGCAGGGGCCGCGCAGGACCGCCGCGCCGCTGCGGGGGCGGGCGCGCGCGGGGCAGCGCAAAACATACGCCGGCAGGAGGTCGCTCCTCATGCGCGCGGCCGCGGGGCCCATATTCTCGAACGGCGCCCGCTGCTCGGCGCCCCCGGCGCGCGGGGCAAAGTTGTCGCTGTCGCTCGTTACTTGGGCGCGCGCATGTCGCCTAGCTTGTCGGGCCCGCAGGGGGTCGGCCATCGCGCGGCGGCCGTGGAGAGAAAGCGCGTTTAAACGCGCGCGGTTCCTGGAGCAGCGAGGCGTTTTCTAATTTTGTGAGCTCGAGTTTTTCGAGGTCGCCCATCCAGCGCGGGGCTCAGCGGGGCTGACTCTGGCGGGCATGCTGGGGCTGAGCCGCAAGCGCGGCGCACATCGCGCGCGCAGCTTCCTGTTTGTTTGACGGGGGGCGGCATTGACAAGGGGCCGTCGAGGCGAGGGGGGGGGGGCGGGGGCGCGTCTCGAGCAGATGCGAGCGGGCGAGGTCTCGAGGCGTCCCGGGGCTGGCACTTACACGATGGGTCTTCGACTTCGCCGGCTTCGCCGGCTTCGGGCGATTGCGCGGTTTCCGCAGACGCGCGCCCAGTGTTTGATCAATGTGTTTGGGGGGCTCAATATCGGGGGCGCAGTATAATTGCCCAGTGGTTCGGCCAAGGAAGATGCGAATCCGCGGGCTAGACAGCGGCAGCAGGCCTCACGGGCACCGCGCGTCGTCGAGGAGAGACGAGACCTTCTTAAGGGGTACCAGAATAACCTTCGCAGTGCGCTGATGGGGGGAGCCGAGAACATCTGCTGCATCGGATCGAAGCAGTGGCGCGCGCGATTCTGTGCCCCTTAGTGGAGCGCGCCATCATCCAGTATCCCAGGTGATAGGTGATGCACAAAAAACCGAATGCTTGCACATTACTTGATGCTGATGATTGTTGTTCATGTACGGCACTGTTTGCTACTCGAGCCCAGTCGCGCACGCATCAGGCAGACGCAACAGGGGTATAACATGGTGTAGGAAATTATGCAAGCCGTTTAGTTGTCACAAGTGCATGCCCCATATGTTCGAATATACTCGCGAATGCGAACGCTGCTCGCGTGCGTGCAGAACAGCGGTTGCCGCGCTGGTCTCACTTGCCGCGTGCGCCTGCTTCTTGGATGCGACCCCGCGCGGCGCCCGCTTTGCCCCGGGGCTTTCGAGGCCGCGCAAGAGCTCGCGCGGCGCTGCGAGAAGCACCTCGCCCCGCTTTAACCCCATAACTTCCACGTCGACTTCTCTCCTTTCTGGGGCCGGGGGGCCGAGCGCAAATAATCAGATGGCGACTCAGGTGCGCAGGGGAACTGGCTGTCAGACTGGAGCTCAGATCAGCTCGACAAAATTCGCGGACAACCGTCGCGCCAGCTGGAGGCCCACATGAAGCAGCAAAGAAGGGCACGACTCGCAGTGTAGCGCTAGCTCAGGACAACTCGATCGCGCCGAAGTGTTCCGATGCGCATCTGGGGCATCTGGAGGCAGCGCAGGGCAAGGGGCAGCAGGGAGTGATGGCCGAGCTCCGCGGAGGGCCCGAGCTCCAAGTTCGCCGTGCTCTTCTCAGCGCTTCAAAGAATTCTAAGCTCGCGGGATCTCCTTTGGAAGCGCTGCATAAGGCGCTCAGGCGGCTACGCATAATGATGGGGGGGGGGGGGGGGGGCAGCGGGGCCAGCTTGTGGGTGGAGCCGCTCGCCTTGATCCCGATCTACAGCTCCGATGCCAAGAGGGGGAGTTCGCTCGCGTGTCAATCTGATCGGTCAGACCGCAGTTCTTGCGACGCCAAAGAAGGAGGAGGAGGCAGTTTACAAGGCTCAGCAGCAGGCGCAGACCGCGCCCCACTAGGGGCAGATGCAGATGAACTCCTTGGACGTGCCCGCTAGCCTGGGGCGGGCTCCCTGGGGCAGCGCGGCCAGGCAGATCAAAGGCAAGGGCGAACGCAGGGGGAACGAGGACAGGGACGAGGACGGGGGCAAGAGCGGGGCCAGCCAGAAGCAGGAGGGCGAGTGCAAGGTATAGGACGAGGAGTAGGTGAGGCGCGAAGCATAAGCTGCCGCAGGTCGTTCTCGCAATGAGGGTTGCGGGAGGGGTCGTACCACGCGCGCCGCGCCGCCTTGCTTTGAGGGCCTGCTCGGGGGCGGCGGTTGTCGCCCACATGGCCGCCCGCAGGAAGAGCGGGCACCGCAGCCGAGTATGTGTAATGTTTATTTCCAGCGCATCAGTACGCGAGCTTAGCGTGGGTGTGTTTTGCGCGTGCAGTCATGGCTTAAACGTGTTAGGCGCATATTCGTTCCGTCTTGCGGAGGAGCTTGACACGCGCCGCACAGGCACGAGAGCCAACGCGCGGTCGTCAGACTGCGCGGGCATCCCAGAGCCAAGCGCGGTATGAGTTCAGCACAGGAGGGCTTGAATGGTTTGAGAGAAAAGAGGAAAATGAGGAGGCAAAACGAGGAGGAGGAGGAAAAGAAGGAGGAGGAGGGAGAAGGAGGGAGAAGGAGGCAGCCTGGGGCCATTTCGCGGGGCGTCGATCAAATGAGGGGAGTTCCTCGATGACTGTCCCCCCCCACGAACGCTCGTAAGCGCCTATTGGGGCGCTCTTGGGGCCGTTCTGGGGCGTTGTAGCGCCCGTTTCAGGGCTTTCTCGGACATCTTGGGGCCGCATTGAGACCTCATAAGCCCATCGAGATCCAAAAGGCGACAATGCAAACATCAGTGGTCTTCCGTTGGCTTTTTATGGACTTGGGCCTCTTGGGGGCGTCCGTGGGGGGCCCCGGGAGCATCTGGAGCAATCGCAAGATTCTCTTGAGTTTTCTTGGGCCATCTCGGGGGCCATCTTGGAGCATCATAGCTCCTCTTGGAGGCCAGTTGGACCATTCTGCGCGCGCTGACCCATCAGTAGGTGGCCCAAACAACTTCAGGGAGGGGAGGGGAGGGGAAAGGAAGGGTACCCCTCCCCGAAGTGAAAGCGGCTTGACCAGAGGAAAACGCATCTCGTTGGTCCAGCTGGGACCAAATGGCTGCCTGGACTTTTGGCCTCCGGCGGCCCTTACTGGGCCCCGCGACCGTCCAACAACGAAAGAGGAGGAATGCCCAAGCCTGGGGAAGGGATCCAGACCTCGGGGGTTCACGCTGCAGCGCCGCCCGTTCCCCCCTCGGGGTGTCCATGCTCTTCTTCGCGGGTTTCGTGGAAGCGGCGCTGGCTAGGCTTGACCAGAAGTGCAGTGCATGGCTGGTGCAAAATAGTGTCGAACATCCGATCAAGAAACCTCCTCCCGAAAAGCGGGGCCAGCGCTCCTTAGTTCACAGGCCGGAAAGGTGGCCCAGTTTCTTGGGCACGTTCGCCCTCCAGCGTGAATGGCAGACATTGTGGCAAGAAATTTCCAGGAAGCTGGCCCAGATGTCGTGAATTATGCGCTCCTGGGTGATATTTCCACCTGTATCCAATCTGCTGCGCGGTCGCCTTGTGCCCGCCCGACCGAACAACAACTGCTGTACAGCACCAAAGGCGCCTGGAACAGTCAGAAAGCAAGGCGCCGAACATGGGAAAGTGTAACAAATAGCATCGCTCGGACGTGTGCATTCCTTCTTTGGCGAGGACCATCGAGCAACTTGTTGGATAACCTTGCGAAGAAGACAAGCACGAAACCGAACAATGCACCGGGAATGGACGTTCGAGCGATGGCGAGCCAAAAGGAGTCGTACACAGTTTCGACCCCAAGGGTCGCCCCAGTGAGGCCGAAAAACCATTCAGATGTCACGGAGTTGGTGCGGGCACGTTTTGCGAGAGCCTCGGGGCGGATGTGGGTCCGCACCCGCTTTGGCTCACGCCGGAGAGTGTGCGCAGCAGGGAAAAGTGGGCAAGCGGACGGAGCCATTGGAGCGAGGGCTGTGGGCAGTGGACACGTGGGCCTTGACAAGAACGGAATGCCCGCCGAAATGTGAGATGGACGACGTGCGTGAGTGAGTGAGACATCAGGAAGGCATGCAACATCGGTAGGTTGAGTGGTGATCTGGTGGCTTCGATGGCGGTTACGGTAATGGTGATGGTTGTATTGATGATCGTGCTGGTGGCGTTGATGATGATGGTGGCGGTGTTGATGCTGAATATGATGCAGATGTTGGTGATGGTGGTGGTGGTATTGGTGATGGTGATGATGGCGACGGTGGTGGTGGTGGTTACGGCGGTGAGAGTACTGATATCGTGGTGATGATGACGGTGGTGATGATGGTTATGGTGATGGAGTGGTTGATGATTGTGATGAGGATATTGATGGATATGATGGCGACGGTGATGTGGTGATTTGGTGGATGTGGAGATGATGGTAACGATGATGGTGATGAAGGTTTTGATTGAAACGACGTTGATAGTAATGTCGGTGGTGATGGTGGTAGTGGTGACGAGCATGATAATGATGACGACGGTGATGGCGATGGCGATAATATCATGATGATGTTGATGATGATGATGTCGATGATGATGATGATGATGATGATGGTGATGGAGATGGTGATGGTGATGGTGGTGATGATGATAATGGTGATGGTGATGGTGGTGGTGACGGTGATGGTGATGGTGATGGTGACGGTGGTGATGGTGATGATGGTGATGGCGGTGTTGGTTGTGATGATTTGGTGTTGGTGATGATGACGGTGATGGGGAATTCGATTACGATGACGATGATGATGGCGATTGCGATGGCGGTTGTGGTGGTGTTTCAGGCGATGACGATGACAATGACGATGACGGTGCCGATGATGATGATGATGATGATGATGATGATGATGATGATGATGATGATCATGATCATGATGATCATGATGATCGTGATGATGATTAGGATGATGATAATGCTGATGCTGATGCAGATGCTGATGATGATGACGACGGTGATGGCGATGGCGATGATGATAATGATGATGATGATGATGATGACGATGATGTCGACGATGACGATGACGATGATGACGATGATGATGATGATGATGATGATGATGATGATGATGATGGTGATGGTGATGGTGATGGTGATGATGATGATGATGATAATGATGATGATGATGATGATGATGATGATGATGATGATGATGATGATGATGATGATGATGATGATGATGATGATGATGATGATGTCGATGACGACGACGACGACGACGACGACGACGACGACGGTGATGACGACGACGAAGACGACGACGATGGTGAAGGTGCTTGAAGCATGCCGTCACTGCCGCCTCCCGAGCGGAGGCAGCGTTGGGGGCAGCCGTCGAGATTTTCGGCGGCCCGAGCGGTTGGAAGCACGACAGCTCGGGTCGGGCCCGCCGCACCATACTTCGCGGCTCGCTCTCCCTCGGCCGGTCGGCCCACCCAGCCCTCGCTTGCGGAGTGGCCCTCAAGATGCATACGGTGAATGACGAACGAACAACACGCACCCCTACCCATAGGGGGGTCGTTGGGAGGAGGACTGGCTACGGGTATGGGTGCGGGTTGTCGGACCCTGGGGAACGCTCCCGTTCGAGCGGGGACCCCCATCCGACAACACGTACCAATAGCCCTCTCCGATCCCCCTATGGGTATGGGTGTGTGTTGTTGGTTCGTCAGTGAAGGCGTTGGGCAAGAGTCCGTGAGATGAGGAAGCACAGGTCTGGAAGTTTGGAACTCCAATCGTGGACGGGCCAGGGTTATCACTGCCGGCATCATCAGATACGGAGTCCTCCAGGGACTGAAGCTTCCTGGGCTCCTGGGCACATTCCTTATCCAACGCCCCCACCGTATGCGGCCTGCGACAGATGGATAATTAGCCTACCAGGGGGGCAGGGCCAGGCGACAGGGATATCTCCAGCGGAAAAGCCGACCTGGTTTCCACGCTTCAGGTGTACGGCCCACTTCCCGGAAAAGAACAGGCTCCACATGAATCTATGTCCGGAGGTCTGAGCGTTTTTTATCTGCGCTGGGCCCCCTCTGGCGGACTCTCCGGCGCTGTCCCTGGCGCGATCATCGCCAGTCTAAGAAGTCCGCCAGGATATTCGAACATTTGTATGTACGTAGTTCGTCCATCTTCTAGCTATCCAGACTCACCCTAATTATGCAGGCTCACCCTGAAGTAGGCTTCCCATGGGGGGAGCGATGTGAGCAGGTGGAGGGTGGTTTCTTTGTCTTCTGCACCCACAGCGAGCGAAAGCCCCCAGCCAGGACCTTCTTCACCCGGACGGGGCTAGGACCAGGATGAATCCGTTCGCGTTCCGGAGCGCTCTAAGAAGGCCGCGGCGACCGAAACATCCTCCAGAACCGCCAGATTTTAGAGATTCTCGATTCATCCTCACCCGAGTTTATCCTCGATCTGGCTTCGCCTTATTGACTTGCGGGCGCGAGGTGCGAAACGTGTGAGGCGTTTGGGGTCGCCGCGCAGTGAGTATGGAATTTTGCGGGAGGAGCGAAACATCTAGGGGCAGCGTGAAGGGGGGGAGATAGGCTCAGGAGTGGACGCATCGACCCCGAGTCGCCCTTTGATCGCCGATAGGAGCCCGATCCGATAGCCCGAGGAGGTATTCAGAATTGGGCCCCCCCTTGTTTCTCTCGGTTGGGAAGAAACTCCGCCCCTCCTCCTACTCATCCTCCTCTTCTTCCTTCTCTTCCCCTCCTCCTCTTCCTTCTCCTCTTTCGTGCCGCGGAGAAATTGCTGTTTTCCATTATTATTGATGGAGCCCCAGTCCGTCAATACGGCCGCCGAAAAGATTAGTAGTTTCCATCTATTGTGTGGGGGGGGTCTAAATACCTGTCGGGGTAGCCCACCCCGCCCAGAAACGTGCGTAGTCGCTACCGGGGGCCTATCGCCGATCTGTTGGCGATATATCGTCGAGTCCGTGTCGATGTTTCCCCACGTGAGCCAGTTTCCCTCTATCGTTTACCCTCATGTGTGGACGCGTACGAGGGTAGCGAGATGCACGATGGGTGGACCAGCTTGCGCCCACTCCCAGTTAGTATATTTTGTGCGGGCACTCCGCGCTGGGAGCTTGCGGGGTTCCTTGCCTGCTGGAGTGGAGGGTGTAATATCCGCTAAGGGTTGGCCATTTATCACGCAGACACAGTAGCATCATGACGCTCCCAAGTTGGAGCTTAGTAGCAGGGGGTGGTCTCACAGGGGGGCTGTGTCTTGTGAATCGGGCGACTCGGTGACCAGCCGAGATATGCTAGTCGATGCATTCAAGCGCGCACGCGAGATATCACTGCCATGCGCAATGGCGTCGGCATTTGGCTCAAGCGCAAATGCACGATTCGTGAGTGGACACTTTCTTGGGTCAGTCCCTGAATTCCTCGTCGAATCGACCATGTCATTACGAAGATGCTTCATACGAATTCGGCAACATGCGCATCAAGTATGTTGCAGCAATCGATTCCCCCGGCTGGTGCCGCGATATCTTGAGGCCATCATTTGGGATTTGGACATTGTCGTTGTCCCACGCACCTATGGAATCCAACGATGGCGGTGGCAGTGACTTCGAAGAAGCATCGGACACGAACGCCACAGGCACGCAAAAACAGGAACCTGCAACTTGCGTGTTCACCCACCGCCTTCCTGCGACGAATCCAGTAGAAACGCGGTACGTTGGCACGGCTCACGTTGATGCCGTCTGCGGGAATAGTGTAGGTTTGGTCGTTCGTTGGTCTCTTCGGAAGGCCAAGGTGCCATGCGCCACGGCTATCATTGCATCCGCGGACGAGCTCGGCGCCGAGCCTTTCGGGAATAAGGGCGCAGATGATCCAGAGGACGCAGGAGAGTCAGAGGATACGAAACTATGCTGGAGCCTGGACGCGGCAGCGCGAAAGGGTTCCTTCCTCATCCAGTCACGCTATCTCATGTTTGGCGTGCCATGGAGCCATGGCCTACACGATCCGTGTACGGCTCGTTGTAGCGAAAATGTTTGATGCTGTCTGAGTGTTCCACCGAGTGGAATAATCGAAAGCAAGCATGTTCATATTCGCGGTGTGGACACTGGGTTTGTTTGCACATGTTACGATTAGAACGCTGGTTTGTTTACGTTCTCAAACAGTGCTTGTTGTTTCTGGGTAGTGTCTTCTCTCTTCATTCGGAATGTGTGCCGCAGAGGCAGACTGTCAACGCCATCAAGTGAGCGCCTGGTTCATGGTAGCGTCTTTGTCTCGTATTGGTGCGCGCGAATGATTTGATCGAACAATGTGGGACGACGTGGGATGAAACCCAGCACCACACATGGTAGGACTCTTGTTCAGATGGCAGCGCAGCAGAACGGATATTGAGCTCTCATGACCTGGTCTTACACATCCCGTCATCGTCCGCAGCCTCGTGTCCCTCTTCCTGTCTCATGTTCATCGTCCTCCTCCCCCGCCTCCTAGCCCGTCCCTCTTGAAAGGATGTTGGAGGCTTCTTCTCTTGGGGCTCTTGGGGCCTCTTGAAGTCCTCCCTCGCGCCTCTTGGGTCCTGCTGGGGGGCCAATCCGCTGATGGCCCGTCCAGGGCGCGCCTGCTCCACAGATCTCTCCCGAAGAGGCTCGATGGACGCATCGAGAAGACGCCTGGGCGCGTCTTCGGGCCATTTTGGAACTGCATCTGGGCGGTCGGCATTGAGGCCTGGTAAGGCTTCGGGTTGCGCACAGATAGCCCCCCCCCCCAGGTAGTCCCAGCTGGCCTCAGCATGCCCCCCGAGTAGTCTGGGGAGTTCTCAACACCCTGGCGCCGCCTCAGGCGGCGCCCCTGGGGCGCTCCGCCGGGTTGGGTTGCGGAGATTGCCCCAGGCCATGCTGGGGGGGGGCTGTTGAGGCCAGCTGGGGCTACTCGGGGTGCCTGCTGAGGCCAACCAGGACTACTCGGGGACCTGTGCGGCCGGTATTGGGCCGCCGTGGTTGGTTCTAAAGTCATCCTGGCCAGTTATGGGTCTCCTTTGTTTGGCTCTCGGATGTCGTTTGTGGGAGGCTACTGAGTTCTTATGAAGGTTCGCCAAGAAGTTTTTGAACTGAACGGCCTCGCAAACAGAAAGACCTACATGCATACATCTGCATATCTGTGTATATATATATATATATATACACACACATATGGGAGATCCCTGTCCCTGGGCCCCAGGCCGGCCCCTCCCTTGCACGACGGAGCCCCCCCTCGCCCCAGGGCGCTCTCCGGGCGGCCCCCCGAGGTCTTAGAAAGCCCGAGAATCTTCCAAGACCACCCAAGATTGGCTGCGACTGGCCCTCAAGGCCCCCCAAAGGCGCCCCACGAGAGCTCCAAGATGGCTCCAGATGACACCGCGACAGCCCCAAGGCGCCCCGAGAGGCCCCCAAGAGGCCCACCAAGAGGGCCCCAAGAAGCAAAAACCGTCCCACTCCCTTGGGAAAACGTATCTTTTTAGCATATTCGCCTCGTGGGTTTCTCTCAGCGTCCACGACGGCCCAAGAGGCTCCCAAGACGGCCCAGGAGGCCCCAAAGCGAGCTCCATGACGGCCCACCCAAAGATGGCCCAGGAGGCCCCCAAGATGGCCCAAGAGAGCGCCAGGATAGGCTCAAGAGGGGTTCCAGAGGGGGGGAAAACCAATTTTCACATGTCGAGCCTTGGCCCCAAGAGGCCCTCAGTAGGCCCCAAGAGGCCCCCAAGGGGCCCCCAAGAGGCGTCCAAGAGGCCCAGGAGGCCCCCAAGAGGCCTTTCGCAAGAAACCGATACATCTACGAGAGGCCTCTGGTCCACGACCTAGGCCCGTTCCTGAGGCGCCGCCTGATCGGCACAGGTTTTGTTCCCAACCCTCCTGCGTTGGGTTCTCGTTTTGTATAGAGCACTGCTCGCGCGTCGCCTTCCTTACTTCCTTCATTCCCGCCCCCTCCCGCCCCTCTCTTCCCCCTTGCCTTTCGCCTCGCTCGTCGCTGCGTGCCAGCTGGGGGGCAGCGATCTGTGGTCGCCACTTTTGAGGCATGCTGAGGGGCCCAGCACAGTGGGTACTCACGGCAGACTCAAATGGGACCTCGCCATCCCTGGGGGGCTGCGTTCTGTGAAACTGTCGCCACTTTCGAGGCCTGCTGGGGGGCCCAGCACAGTGGGTACTCACGGCAGACTCAAATGGTACCTCGCCATCCCTGGGGGGCTGCGATCTGTGAAACTGTCGCCACTTTCGAGGCCTGCCGGGGGGCCCAGCACAGTGGGCACTCACGGCAGACTCAAATGGGACCTCGCCATCCCTGGGGGGCTGCGATCTGTGAATCTGTCGCCACTTTCGAGGCCTGTTGGGGGGCCCAGCAAAGTGGGTAATCACGGCAGACTCAAATGGGACCTCGCCATCCCTGGGGGGCTGCGTTCTGTGAAACTGTCGTCGCTTTCGAGGCCTGCTGGGGGGCCCAGCGCAGTGGGTACTCACGGCAGACTCAAATGGGACCTCGCCATCCCTGGGGGGCTGCGATCTGTGAAACTGTTGCCACTTTCGAGGGTTGCTGAGGGGCCCAGCACAGAGGGTACCCACACGCATATTCAAATTAGACCTCGCCATCCCTGGGGGGCTGCGATCTTTGAAACTGGCGCCACTTTCGAGGGCTGCTGAGGGGCCCAGCACAGTGGGTACCCACCGCAGACTCAAATGGTACCTCGCCATCCCTGGGGGGCTGCGATCTGTGAAACTGTCGCCACTTTCGAGGGCTGCTGGGGGGCCCAGCACAGTGGGTACCCACGGCGGACTCAAATGGGACCTCGCCATCCCTGGGGGGCTGCGATCTGTGAAACTGTCGCCACTTTCGAGGCCTGCTGGGGGGCCCAGCACAGTGGGTACCCACCGCAGATTCAAATGGGACCTCGCCATCCCTGGGGGGCTGCGATCTGTGAAACTGTCGCCACTTTCGAGGCATGCTGGGGGGCCCAGCACAGTGGGTACTCACCGCAGACTCAAATTAGACCTCGCCATCCCTGGGGGGCTGCGATCTGTGAAACTGTTGCCACTTTCGAGGGCTGCTGAGGGGCCCAGCACAGTGGGTACCCACACGCAGATTCAAATTAGACCTCGCCATCCCTGGGGGGCTGCGATCTTTGAAACTGTCGCCACTTTCGAGGCCTGCTGGGGGGCCCGGCACAGTGACGCCACACGCAGATTCAATTTAGACCTCGCCATCCCTGGGGGGCTGCGATCTGTGAATCTGTCGCCACTTTCGAGGCCTGCTCGCGGGGCCCAGCACAGTGACGCCTCCCAAGTAGCTTATGCATCAAGTTGATTGTCCATACAAGTTTCCGCCAACTCCTCGTTTCCAGTGATACAAATGGGTTGGGTACGTCACAGTGTAATTGTATGTGCATGTGTGTGTATGTGTGAACGTACGCATGTATGTATGTATGTAATTATTTATGTGTGTATGTATGTATGTATGTATGTATGTATGGATGGATGGATGGATGTATGTATGTATGCATGCATGTATGTATGTATGTATGTATGTATGTGTGTATGGGTGCATGTAGGCATAGACGTATGTATGTACGCATGCGTGTATGAATGTGGGTATGTGTGTGCGTATGTAAGTATGTATGTATGCATGTATGTATGCATGCATGAATGTATGTGTGTATGTACGTATGTATAGATATATGTCTATATGTATGTATGTATGTATGTATGTATGTATGTATGTATGTATGTATACATGTATGTATGTGTGCATGGTTGTATATATGTATGTATGTATGTATGCATGTATGTATGTATGTATGTATGTATGTATAAATATATGTATGTATATATTGATGTATGTATGTATGTATACGTGTGTGTATGTATGCCTGTCTGTATGTATGTATGTATGAATACATGCATGTCTGTCTGTCTGTATGTCTGTGTGTATGTATGTATGTATGTATGCGTGTATGAATGTATGTGTGTATGTATGTGTGTATGTAAGTATGGATATATGCATGTATGTATGCATACATGGATGCATGTGTGTATGTACGTGTGCATTCATGTATGTATGTGTGTATGCATGTGTGTATGTATGTATGTATGTATGTGTGTATATCTGTATGCATGTATGTATGTATGTATGGTCTGTATGTATGTATGTATGTATGTATATATTGATGTACGTATGTATGTAGGTATGTGTGTATGCATGTGTGTATGTATGTCTGTATGTATGTATGTATGTATGTATGTATGTATGTATATGTATGTATGTATGTATGTATGTATGTATACATGCATGTCTGTCTGTCTGTCTGTCTGTATGTGTGTATGTATGTATGTATGTATGTATGTATGTATGCAGGTGTACAGTTGTATGCCTGTGTTCATGCCTGTGTGCGTGTAAGAGAAAAGAGAGGTCACTTTGCATGGCGTGTAGCGCAGGGTGCGGCTCTCTCTCTCTCTCTTCAACTACTGCGCGACGCGGGGTAGACCAGATAGAGGGTCGCTGCGGAGCTAGCGCGCGCAGGCACGCTGAGCTCCCGTTGGACGCGGGGTAGACCAGATAGAGGGCCGCTGCGGAGCTAGCGCGCGCAGGCACGCTGAGCTCCCTGTGGGGCGCGATCCGCGTGGAAGGGGGTGGCCCCCGCACGAGCGCGCCCACTGAGGCCGTAGGTGGTAGGCGGAGCTCCTTGTGGAGCGCGATCCGCGTGTAGCGGCGCCGAAACGGCGTGGGGACGCCACTCGAAATTGCCCATGGGTGCCATGCAGGTCCTTGCGGGATACGCTCCGCGTCAGGGGTGTGCCGAACGATGCCGAGGGACGCCATGCGATCCCTCCTGTTGGAGCCGCCGGTGGAGCTCCCTGTGGGTCGCAATCCGTGTAAGGGGTGTGCCGACATTGGCGTGAAGACGCCATGCGAACCTTCTCTCTTTGTCCGTAGGTGGAGCTCCCTTTGGGCCACGATCCCAGCCAGGGCGGTGGAGAACAGCTGCCCATGAGTTCGTGGAGACCTCTCTGGGAACATTCGGGAGGAGGAGAAGGAGGAGGACCAGTGCAAACCCAAGAGTCATCAACGATGTTGGAATAAACCCTCCCTCCAAGCTCCCGCTTCACAGGCCCCTAAAGCGGTTTATTTCCATTGAGGGAACTGCCTCGTTGGAAGACAACCGTTTGAAAACCTTGAAGTTTGCCAGAACAGTGTTCTCGGGATTCCAACGTCACATATCAACTTGACTGTTGCGTCGTGACGACCCTGAATCGCGCCAGAACGCCATTCCTGGGACTTCAACAACGCGAATCAATGCAACTGCTGCGCCCTCATAATTCTGAATCCTTCCAAACACCATCTCTGGTACGCTGATCATGGGAATCCGTGAAGCTCTTGCAAAGTTTCAAAACGAATGTGCGCGGCGCTAAGGCGAGAGCCACATGTTGATAAGGCACCGCCCTCAATCGGTTAAGCCTTTGCAAGTGCTCAAAAACAATGTGCACGGTTTCGAGGGCGAGAGCCACATTTTGAAAACGATTCGCCTTCCATCCGTGGAACGTTTGCATTTTTATATGACGAATGTGCGCGGCGCTAAGGCGAGAGTCACATTTTGAAACTGTTGCCATGTTTGAAGCTTCGAGGTCAGAAATGGTAGGAAGTCACAGGCGAAATGCCCGGCCCGCCCTGAAAATTGGCCCCGGGGTGCGACAGAGAGAAGTTACGCATACGGAGAAGGGATGGAGGAGGAGGAGGCGGAGGAGGAGGAGGAGGAGGAGGAGGAGGAGGAGGTAGGAAGAGGAGTAGCTGCAGACGGAGGAGAGGAGGATGCGCTGGACATGGGAGAAAGAAACGGCGGAGGAGGAGGAGGAGGACAAGTAGGAGGAAGAGGAGGAGGACGAATAGGAGCAAACATGGAGTAACGAGGAGGAGCACGTGGAGGAGGAGGAGGAGGAGGAGGAGGAGGAGGAGGAGGAGGAGGAGGAGGGAATGATGAGTGAGAGCAGGAGCAGGAGCAGGAGCACTGGGAGGAGGAGGAGGAGGAGGAGAAGGACGATGACGAGGGAGGGGGAGGGGGAGGGGGCCGAGGCGGATGGAGACTCTGCAACGCCTACATGCAGCGGACTTCGCAATGTCGCCGATCAGACGAGCGAAAGCGAGAGCCGTAAAACATGGCGCAGTTGTGACTAGAACCTGAGCGCGCGAAGCGTACGCGGTCCTGCATATTTGTATATACACGCATACGTATAGAACGTACACACGTACCTACCCAACCACCTACAAAAATACATCTTCACACAGAATTGCATATATACATTCATGGTGGTTTCAATGTGTCTCGCCCCTCAGGGCCTCGCTGGAGGTCCTTGTAGGGCGTCTCGTGGAGCCTTCTTGGGGCCTCTCGGGGGCACCCTGGGCCCTTCGGGGGATCGTTGCCTATTTCAGCTGTTTTACTGACTCCAGCCAGGTCGGGCCGACAACCCGCCCGCGATCGACGGGTCGAGGCGGCGGCCGCTCCCAGGAGGGGCAGGCAGAGGAGGGCCATCGCATGGTAAGGAGTGCAAGAGGTGGGTGCCGAAGGGCAGAGTTTGGCGGAGGGCAGGGACAGCGGAGGCGAGATTCGGGGTCCGACCGAGCACGAAGCGAACCGAGGAGGAGGAGGAGGAGGAGGTGGAGGAGGCGGAGGAGGAAGAGGAGGAGGCACAAGAGCTCTGGAATGACGCCCTGAACGCCAGAGGCCGTGCCGTTTTTGGAGCTTCGGGGACTCCCGCCGCTTACCGCCGCGAAGAGATCACAACAGTGGTGTGTCAAGTTTTGGCCTCCATGGGGGCCCTCACAGGGCTCCAGGACCGTCAGTTCACTGCTCTGGATGAAAAACGCCGGGCCCGAGGAGGCTCCCTGGCCACCGCAGGGCGCAGCTGCGGAAAGCTGGCCAGGTTCTCCTCGCACCGGACGTGCTCGCCCGGTGTCGGGCCCCGGGGCGATCATACATCGATCGGGCTCGAAACATGCTGCAGAAAGATTGGGCCTAGGGTTCTTGTCGCGATGTTTCGCAATGTTGCAATTTGTCGCAGCGTCGGATCTCAGGGTCGGGAAGCTGGTCTGGATGGTGTCCTGGAGGAGCCAGCGACCGATGTGGGGGCAGGTACGTGCTGCGTCAACCGACACCAGGAGGGTGAAGCAGAGGTGGCCGATCCAAGCCTCGACAGACAGGTAAGGCAGACCATACGAGCTTGAACAGCTCAAGGCGCTCATCGGCAACCCATGTTGTTGTTTCACACTGCCGATGAGCACTGGCGCTCGTGGGGTCTTCTTGACGGGTCTTAGAGCGAACGAGGCATGTTGATCTTGTATGTGGTGTGAGCGAGCAAGCACAGACAAGTTTCTTCGTGACCGAGGCTGGTTGAACGGCGAATGTTGAGCTGCTGTAGTTGGCCCAGGTTCGAGGAACATCAGAAGCACCATCTACACTGATAGCCTTCCGAGTTGTCTTCCCCCTATCAGTGGCAAGGTTAGGGGGGACAGGCTCAGGGGGGAATGAATGCATTGACCCCCAATCGCCCACACGATATCCCGTCCCGTCCGTGAACGTGCGGTTGCTGTCGCGGACCTATCGCCCATCCATCGACCATGTGTCGAGGCCTGCCCCACTGATCTGGTCCACCCCTGACGTTCCCCCTTGCTGCGGTTCTTCCTGGAGTCGATCGATGGCCACGCCGTTCGAAGTCATAGAACGGCCAGGGTTTCGGTCCCCGGTGCTTCTCCCAGGATTCGAGTATGAGATCGACTACATAATTGATTCACCTAAAAAATCCATTGTCCTCCAATCTAGGAGCAAGAACAATCAGGATGCTCGTACATCTACGAACATCTTGCATTTTTGGAAGGTTTCGACGGGTACACCAATTTTGGGGTCATGCGATTCTGGAGTCGATCTCCTGCTCGCAGGGCCAGTGCTTCATCCAGAGTCGTGGTCTGACGCTCCCTGCGCCCAGGGAGGGCCCCCCAGGTGCCCCAAGGGCGAAGAACACACGCGCATACAGTCGGGGAAACGTACAACTCGAGTACTCCAGAACTCGGGATTGCCGACGCTTTTTGACGAGCGCGTCCTGGATCTTGACGGTCCAGTTTTCGTGGGATATTTGCCACGGGATCCTGCGTCAAATTTCAGATTGGGGTCTCGTCATTTTCATGATGGCCCTGTCAGGCCAACCCGAGTCCCCCGAACCCGAGTCTTACGTCTCCCCGATACAGGACCCGTCCTTTTCGTGCCATGGCGCACGGAGTCGACACCTCAAGCAGCCGCGACAGAGCTCGGAGGGGGAAAAGGTAGCGTTACCCATACCTCTACCCTTCCCTCGCTTTCACCTCATGTGGGCCTTCTGGAAGGCCCTCGTCGCTACCACTGGCTCCGCCCCGAAATCCTGGTCAGAACGCACCCAGGAGAGGCCCACGAAGCAGTGGTATAGGTACCACACGGTTTGCCAACAAGATGCCGCGACAGAGCATCGCAGACGCCATGTTGGCGCGTGATGCGGCAAAGTTTGGTGTTCGGGAGAGGCCCTTGCCTCGACCCTCTCTTCCTCCCTGCGTCTCGTCTTCCTTCTCTTCCGGCGACGTCGCGGGCCTCTCGAAGGGACCCTTTTCATCGATTGTTCACGGAGAAGGACGGAGGACGATGACCGAGGACAGAGGAGCGAGCTGAAGGAGGACGGATGACGGATGAAGGAGGAGGAGGAGGAGGAGGAGGAGGATGATGTACAAGGAACGGCATGAGGAGGAAGCGTGGGAGCAGTAGGAGTAGGGGGAGAACGTCGACGACGACAACGGGCAGGATGACGAGGAAAGGATTACGAGAAGGAGGGCGATAAGGAGGAGGAAGAGGAGGACCAGAGGAGGACCAGTGCACACCCAAGACGCATCAACGATGTTGTAATAAACCCACTCTCCAAGACCCCTTCATACTTACGCAGGCCGAAAGATTCTCCTCTTGAGCCCCAGATGTCGGAAGCGACGTGCCGTTCAGGTGAGCGGATAGATGACGCGCTCTCTTCGGTTTCGTGCCTCCTCCGTCCTCCTTCCCCTCTTCGTCCTTTGACCCCCCCCCATTCCCCCGTATAATCACAGTTTTGGTCAGCAGATCCACAGTTCCGTGGAAAGCATGGTGTTTCACGTGCGGCGCCCCTCGGATCCCATGTCCCCTGGGTCTGGGATGATAATTATCATGATGCATTCATTTCTGGCAAATAAATGGATCCATTGGTTTTTCACACACTGCAAATTGGATCCGCGCAAGACAGAAATATGATCCACGACACTCGAAAACGGATTGAATTGGATCCATCGGTGTTCTCATTTTTTGTCCAAGAGGAGAAAATCTGCCTGGGAATCTAGGGCCTTACTGGAGTATATTGTAGTGATTGTAGTGGCCTCCGGCCAGTGCCGCCGATCTGGGGCGTTCCCGACGCTGTCGCAGTCTCTGGCGCCGAAGACGACGACGACAAGACGACGACGACGATGACGACGACGACAACGACGACGACGAACGACGAATGTCGAAGGACTGACGACAACGACGACGACGACGACGACGACTGACGACGACGATGAACGAGTCACGGCGAGCGATGACCGACGACCGACGACCAGTGACGACTGATGACGACGATAACGATGTGGAGCGACGAAAAACGCGGGGCTGGGGCCAGGGCCAGGGCCAGGGCCGGGGGGCTGGGCCCAAGGCCGGGGCCGGGACCGGGACCGGGGCCAGGGCCGGGGCTGGGGCCGGACCCCAAGCCCGGGAAAACGCAGCTCAGGAAAACGGAGCACGGCCCCTCCCACTTTCAGAGCGGAGTTCAAGCGAAGCTCGAGCCCACGATGTTTGAAGCTTACACGCCGGATCGTTGGATTTTTCTCTGCGGGAAATTCAATCAAGCAGTGGTGAAGCGTTCTGGCTTGCCTACAGGCCTACCGAACAATGTTTTAAGGTTTAGGAACATGTTTAGGGGTTTGCAAGACATGTTCTTAGAACACTTCTGGCGGGGACTGTCTTGTTTTGACACATCGGAGTTATGTTCTAAGAACCTTGGTTCTTGCTGTTCAATTTGTGGGGTTCTAGGAACATGTCCTGGTGGGTCTATAGGAATGCCGGGACGGTCGGCCCCTGCTCAAGAAATGCCCCATTGGAAGACAACCGCCTGAGAATCTCCAATCGTACCAAATCACAGTTCTTGGGGTTTGAATCAACGTGGTTGCTGCGTCCTGACAGTCTTCAATTGTGCCAGATCGCAATTCCTGGGACTTCAGCGTCGCGAATCAACGTAACTGTTTCGTCCTGACAGTCCTCAATCGTGCCAGAATACCAGTCCTGGGATGACTCCGCGAATCGACGTGACAATTACGCCCTGGCAAACCTAACCCTTGACAAAACACAATGCCTGGGACTTAGATCTTTCGACAATGCGAATTCTTCAAACGGGTGCAAACTTTCCAAACGAAAGTGCGCAGCGCTAAGGCGAGATCCACATTTGTTGAAAAAGCACCGCCCTCCTTCCGTGAAGCTGTTGCGAAGTTTGAATACGAATCAGCACGGCATTCAGGCGAGAGAAACATGTTGAAAATCATCCGCCCGCAATCCGTGAAGCAGGAGATTGTTGCACACACCATTCGGACGAGTGTGCGCGGCGCTGGGGCGAGAGCCACGTTTTGACAACCACCCGCCCTCCATCGTTGAAGCTGTTGCAAGTTCTTAAAACGAAGGTGCCTGGCGCTAAGGCGCGAGCAACATTTTGAAAACGGCCCGCCCTCAATCCGCAAACTGCTGCAAATTTCAAGCTTCAGGGTTACAGATGGTGAGGAAGTCTCAGGCGAAACGACCTGCCCGCCGTACCTACGCGCGTGGGGGCGCGACCGGGAGGAGTTATTTATCGGAGTGTGGGGGCCAAACGGTCATTCACTCTTTCTCTGGGCGCGTGGCTGAAGTGAGGTTCCGCGTTGTAGATTGTTGTTGTTGTTGTTGTTGTTGGTGGTGGTGGTGGTGGTGTTGTTGTTGAACATTATTACTTCTAAAGAATAATTATTGTTGGGACCCCTGGTGCGCGACCCCCCTCCAAAACCTAGGCCGCAGCTACATTTTCATCATTTTTTAGCGAAAGCTTCAGAAAAGTGAATTATTACCGGATCCGGTTGTTTTGTTGTACTCCGTTTTCCCTTGCAAAAAACACTATAAAATGAAAATTCTTGTTCTTACTTGATCAAATTGCAAGAATCCCTTGCAAAAAATAAGGTAAAGTGGACATTCGTGCGCGCAAGACGAAATCCTTCCAAAACCTTAGGTTTCGTAACGATTTTAACATAAAAACATCAAAAACCCAATGGTTTTTTAAGAAAAAATTGTCAAAATGTTCTTCCGCGCGCTCTTGCGGATTCGTAGGAAAACCAACACTTTTTAAACAATTCTGTCAAACGGGCTTTTGCGAGCAACTTTTTCGAACTTCTGCGACAA